GGGGGTTTGCAGGGGCCCTTGCTGTGCTGCTAGGCTGGTGGCTGGCGAGTGAGTGGAGGGATCCTCACAGTCTTGCTTGTTGCAGGTAGGGGTGACGAGCCGAATGGAGTGGGGCTCCAGCTGGCCAGGGACCTCTCAGCCCTCGCTGCTACCTTATGTCCAGAATTATCCAAAAGGAAATTCCCTTTTCAATTCCAAAATACAGAAATAATATAGACCATACACCTTTTAAACAAAATAATAGAAACACTGCCTTTTCCAACCTAGTGTCTCAGCAAAATGCTGCTAAGCAATATTTGGAGAATAACAAAATTAAATTGCAAAATTCTATCAAGAAGTTTTCATGAAAATACAACTAACTAGAATCTACAGAAATAGCCACAGACATTTTTCATGATGTTTCATGACATATAACATTTTATCAATAAAATATAAAAAGAATCAAAATAAGCTAAAGTAGAACTGAAAAAAATTTATAAAACATGAAAAATAAATTTTAAAAAAATGTGTATGCTCTTAAAGAAAATGAAGAAGTAATGCAGGAGAAGAAGTGAAAGTTAACTTTCCTTGTCTCCTTACCGGAATCTCCACCTGACTTGAGCCACTGGCTGAGCTGGCATAAAGTGAGCTGGAGGACCACAGGTTCAGTCTTTGTAATCTCTGTGAGATAACAGCACCACAGCGACTGCCCCTACAAATCCAGTCAATGCCTGCTAAAATACTTCTTGAATGAATTAACAAAGCATGAAAGAACAGGAACTTTTTTTTTTTTTTTTTGGTCCCAGGATCGAACTTGGGACCTTGCACCTGCAAGGCAGGTGGCAGAACCACTGAGCTAAATCCCTGGCCCAGAACAGGAAATATTAAAGCATCTGCACTTTAATATTTTAAAAAACATATAAAATGATCCTACTGAAGATGTTTCATAATAACATAACCTGGCAGCCACATTTACACGGATCCTGGACATATGCATAGAAAGGTGCCTGGATGCCTCTGCACAGTGCTACTTGCTTTCTGCAGTGTGATGAGACTCTGCCTTCAAGCTTTATGGATGCCCGTATTGTCTCAACGTTCTGCAATAAAAAAGCATTAATCATGAAATAAAATAAGTATTTAAAACAGAAACTTAAGGAAAGATGCTAAATAGAAAGGCTTTCTTGGTTTTAAAAATCAATCAGGCACGTTTCAACCTACCATTTGCAGTTGACAGTTGCAATTATTGAGCTATTGGTCATGAAGATATATCAGGTAAAATAAGATAACCATGAAAGAATCAGGACTGTGAAAGAAATACCAGAAGTTTTAAAAAGAAATTGTGGAAATGAGCAAAAAAGCAGCAAAAATAGTATTTTAGTCAGCTCTACCTCTGGATCAGCAGGTTATTAGAATTAATCATGAAATGATTAAATTGTAAACATCTGAAAAAGCCTAAGGTAGTGGTTTTGTGGAGTGCAAATAATGTCAGACAAATTCAATTTCTTTTTATGACAAAGCGACAAAGGAAGCATTCATCTAATAGACTGGGAATTGAGTCAGCTTCAGTGTACCGCACGTTGCCATTGCCTCAGCAAAGCCAGGAAGTGTGGCATTAGGTAGGTGCGCATTTCCAAGGAGCAGTGATCAAAAGATCACTGTGGTGTCAGAGGACACTCTCTCCCTTTCTGCAGCTATGCGAGCTGGGTAGTGGTAATTATGTAATGGACTGAGAGGCCTGATTACAGACTTCTCAGTTTAAAATGGCTGCAGTTACAAGTGACATTATTTTGGAATAGGAAAGTAGGAATCTGATGCTGCCATACTGAAGACAAATGTATGGACATTTACTTCATTTTTAAAAAGTTTATTTAAAGATGCTTGTCTTTAGGTAAATTTACATTATATAAATGGTTATAATCGGCTGCACATACTATGCCTTATAAATTTTGCTCAGGGGGCATCTGGATAAGCAGTATACTACAGTGGCACCTCAGTTTACAAGTGCTTCTGTTGGCGAAGAATTTGGTTTGCAAATAAAGGTGTGTGGCAAATATTGTTTTTGTTGGCAAACTCTACATCGGATGACAGAGACAACCACAGCCACCTTTCCTACAAAAACAAAAACAGAGCCATCTTTTCCAAAATCATGGAACAAATTAAGTTCGTTTTTTGTTTGTTTGTTTGTTTGTTTTAGTATTTTTGGTACCGGGGATTGAACTCGGGTCCTTACGCTTGCGCAGCAGGCGGCGAAACCACTGAGCTAAATCCCCGGCCCCAGAACAAATTAAGTTCGTGAACTGAGGTGCCACCATAATACTTCAAAAAGATTGTTTTAAATTCCATATGAGTCAGATAAATAGTATGCTAATAGCTACTATCTGGAGCTTTGCAGGGATTTCTGTATGAGCTGCATGAAGTCATTTTTGGAAATATACTAGTTAAAAATAGAGCAACAAAAAATGAAGCAGATACAGTACTCCTTTTACATTTGGAAGTAGTCAACCCTTTAAAAATAATTGTTTCAAAATGCAACATAATTTAATATGGGCTAAAAATGTCCATGCAGAACAAAAACTGCTATCTTTGCTCCAGAACAACAGATACAGAGTGTAGAAAGTTTTACCTTCATATCATTATTTACTTATTGTTTTTGGAACGGTATAGTTGGCCAAAACAAGGAAAGATGAAATAATTACAGATGATGTTTATAGTAAAAGTAGCTAATACACGTAAGTGAGTTGGTAGGGGGAGTCCTTCTGTAATGCTCCAGTACATTTATTTTGCATCGTGAAACCCATGAATGGGACTCTGGTTCTAACCATGCATTCTTTTCACCATCTCCTCTCTACCTTATTAGTGCATTCAGCATCATTTCTCAGGTGAATGGAAATGGGTTTTCTTCTTTGCCTGGCCTCCACTGTGACTGTTTTGCATAGGATGTTCTCTTTATAAATAAAAATTAAATATGGCAACCTCCCTCTCTCACTCAGAACTTTCTAATGGCTTCCTGCTAACATTCACTCCCCCCGGAAATGTTTCTGTAGGTTTATTCATCTTTGAGCTGTTCATTTTCCTCATCAAGAAATATTACATGTCCTACAAAAGCTTGACTGTATGTCCTGTGACCACCATCAAACCTTATTTAGGGCTTTGCTCAATATCACCCTACAAATATACAGTAATAGTCCCACCCTTGACTCTACTCTCCTTTATATTCTTGATAGCTTTATTTTATTTGCTACTCCCCCTGGAAATGTTTCTGTATATGTATTCATCTTTGAGCTGTTCATTTTCCTCATCAAATATAGATTCTAAAAAGCAGGGACATTTTCTTGTTTTCTTCTGTATCTTTAGTGCCCATTTTAGAGATTCAAAATTTTTAATAGACTAAATTAAAAGTGAAAGAATGGATAAATAGCATACATAAGCTTAAAATAATCCACTTTGGGAGCATTATTATAGAACAAAACTAATAGTTCCTCTCAAACATTGAGATAGAATGTCAAAAGTCTTGATGAATATGACTAACATTTGCACAGTTCATCATTTTATATGACTCGTTGACCCATTTCTATTACTTTTTTTTCCCATTAAGTTTATTGGTACATTTTAGGTATACAATACACTTACATTCATCATTGGGATCTTGTACCTTTACATAATGTATCTTGGTTCTTATTTTCTCCCCATTCCCCTGCCCTCCCTTCACCCCCTCCACACCTCCATCTTTACAAAGACTTTGTTTCCATTTTTTTCCTTTTCTCATATTTTTTCTTTTCCCTTCTTTCTTTTCTATTGCTTTTAAGGTTGGTTAGAATATAAAAATATACAATTTCTCTTTGCCATGTATTTTAGGTAAGTGGATGATTAGTTTTATCTTTTACAATTTTATTTTAGGAATAATTATGAATAAAAATAATACAACTTTAAGATATATTTTGCATTTTGGAAAGTTTCGTTTGCTTATTTTAAATAGTCAAAGGACATTTTCTTGCTATCTTGTGAAAACATATTAAAGTTAGTTAGATCCCTCATTTGTTTCACAGGGGACACAGCGATATTTCCAGTGATCACTGCTCTGTTCTGGTTGACACAGGAGACCTTGCACATGCAGCACACACAGCTCTGCCCCATGCAGCTTCCAGCCTCCCTTCAAGACCCTTCAGCATCTCATTGGAGAAGAGGAGTCACATAAACAATCAGTACAGTGCTGATTGCTTCTGCTCTCATTTCACCTGATTTTTCTCCTGATTTTTTTCAGAAATTGAAAAATTTCAAGGTTCTGATGGAAAAAAAGAAGACGAAGAAAAGAAGTATCTTGATGTTATCAGCAACAAAAACATCAAGCTCTTGGAAAGAGTCCTGATCCCTGTGAGACAATACCCAAAGGTACTGCCATGAGCCTTGCTCTTGTGGGATTAAGAAAGAATGACAGAAATGAGGCATTTTATTCATGCCTCTGATAAACATTTAAACCTTCATTATATAAATACATACAAGCACATAATGCAGACATAGAGGAAGGAAAACTGAAAACTCAGTGAATATAAGAAGCATAATGAGATATTTCAATCATTTATTTCACATCTGAATGATTCACCAGTTTCTTCAAATATGCACACCCATTTGATTATCTTTTGGTTCATATTAAAATGTATATTTTATTATAAAAAGGAGTAGAATTAAAGGTGCTAAATATACAACATTAGCTAATCAGCAAGGAATATCCAGGAAAACAACCTATCCTTTATTCGACTCTAGGATTAGAATCTCTAGTCTTCTATATTCAAGATTCATTTATAAGAATCATTGGTATCTTGTTCTTAGTGTAATGGCATGTCTGTTTAAACTACTTCTGCATTAGATTATTGATTAAAGGGTAGCATTCAATGACACTGTTTCATCAATTATACTAATAAATTTCAGAAGCTAAAAAGAGTTTCTTTTATCTTCAAATAAATGCAAGAAGGTGAAGTAGAAACTCAGTGATTCAAGCTGATAATCTACTCTATGCATTTGAAGCAAGGACTATGCAATTATCTTGATAATAAAGATTGTAGAAAAAACTGCTGTAGTTTACCAACTGTATTCTAACATAGTAAGTTTTAGTAAATATAATTAAGTAGAATATTATGTTTACAGTTATTTCAAAAAGGGAAAAACTATTACAACCCAGTGAAGCACAAAATTCCGCTTTCAGATCTGAGTTTTTGGATGACATGCAAAATTTTTGTTCTCTTTTGCTCGATCTAGACATTATTTTTATTGTAAGAATGATATATTTAGTAGTTATGTATTTTTTTGTAATAAATTTTATTTCATGTACTTTATAATGATTATTTTTGAATATTAAATTTGAAATTCACATAAATGTACATGGAAATTGTCTATAATGATATATGATAGAAACTTGATGGAATATCAAAATGTTTACTTGTCATCGATCTTGGTTCATTAGTTATGGTCTGGCATAGAAAGATTTCTTCCTTAAATCATATATTTACATATGCTATAACTTGATGCTGTCTCTCAGAATGACATTTGTCTGTTTTCTGGATATTGGAAGGCCACTGACAGACTCCATATCTTCTCTGAATAAAGTGCACTTCTGAGGTCTTTGACCAAATAAAATTGGCATGAAGAAAAGGCACCTGCAGTCCCTGTGGCTCTTAGGCTCTGGTAGGAGTGCTTTTGTACTGAGTACTGTAAGAGTCTATATTTGATTCAGATGATAACTGCTGAAACAAGATGTTTTTTTCTACAGGGTCAGACCTTTGTGTGAAGTCTAATTTCAGAATTGATAAGATTATATTCAAACAACAAAACTGCCTGTTTTTATTACAGTAATGTAAATCCACTGGAGTAGTATTGTTCATTGAGTTTTAGAATGATAGAGTGCTTAATCTTGGAGCTCGTGGAATATATAAAACTTTTCTATTCCAGATGAGGTAACTAGAAGATTATGTATTGATCAAAGTCATATCTTTGTTACAGGTGGAGCTATTTAGTGGCAGTTGTGATTTTAGAGTCTTCATTCTTTAGTGAACTCTTACATTTTTAACTTTACTGGTCAACTTCTTTATTCACACTACCTTTTCACTTAAAATTTGGAAGAATATGAAAAATGATAGCTCTTAACTGCCCAAAATTTTATGAAATAGTCTCAAATAACTATTCATTCTTGAGAAAATGTAACATTTCTTTTTTTAATAAAAAGCCTGCCAAATTCTTTTTTTTTATTCATTAAGTTTGTTGATACATTTTGGGTGTACAATATGATGACGTTCATCATTGGGAATTTGTACCTGTAAAAGAATGTCCAATTCATCCGAGTATCACACATAAGAGAACTCCAGAGCTCTTTTACAGAAAAGAATGGAATACCAAGAAACACACCAGAATCACACATCATAATTGGTGTACTTTGTTTATAGGCTACAATAATATATTTGTAATTTTTGAATCTTTCACCATCTTTTATAATCTTTTGAAAACAACTCATAACTTATTTTAAAAGTACTGATTCTCTAATGCTGAATATTTATTTCCCACTTTTCACAAAAATATGAGTTAGGGCTAAGATTGTATCTGATATGCACCTTTGTAGATATAGTATGTAGGGTATGGTATAATACTGCAAGCCCGTGCCCAGAGCACAGTATTTATGGGTTTAAAGTTTAATCTTTGATGATGAAAAGTGATTCATTCCTCAGAAGGTCCCCTGGAGCAAACCTGCCCTCTCTGACTTTTGGGGCATCCCTGCTGCCTTCTGTCCCTGGATCCAGTAACTAATGTGTGGATGACACAGTCCTTTCTTTTTTTTTTTTTTTTTTAAGTCCTTTCAAACTAGGGGCGTAGTAACTCTGGGAACCTAGGGAAATGACCTTATCATGACATTACCACTTGACTTTTTGGATAGATTTTTTTCCATGAATATCCAACTTCAAGTTAATTTGCTGACTTTATAGAATACTAACTACAAGGAATTTAAAGAATTTTAAGATTTTAAATTACAGAAGCAATAAAAATGCTGTTCTTGCACTTTAAGAATGATTTAGATATCTCTAGTACTTCATGCTGAATGATTTAACTTGGGAAAATATGTCATATTAGTAAATTATTTCAATGGAAAGTTTTAATATATTTTTGTAACAAGATTAAGAGAGATATATTTGGGACTCATGCTAAATGAGTACATTTTAGCTGCATCTGCCACATAAAAGGATGTGAAATGATGTGTGTTAGTTTGATCTACTGTACTTTTTACTATCTGTGTATTTCCCAAAGCATCATCTTATATATCTTACATATATACAATAAAACTTTGTTTAAAAAGTATAACAGAGAAATAGACATTGCACATCTGCTTCCAACTGTAAATGTTCCAGCGATTATTTGTTGATAAGCCTCCTTGAAGGAGGCAACATGTGTCCACATGCTCCCCTGTATTCCACAGGGATTCACATACCTGAGAACTGCAGCCCTTTTTAACATTAGCTCTTTCTTCCTAAATCCACATATGCTCTATGGCATAGTACAATACACATTTTTTTCAAACTTATACATCTTCAACTGATGTGGATACTATAGTCCGAATTGTTTTGCAGCAATGATCATATCTCATTGTGATTGCTTGTGCACATGTAAACTGGGTCTTGGTTTATTATATTGAGTTTTTTGGGTGGAAGGTCTATGTGTCTTGAGTTTATTTGCAGTTTGAAATGTCTTCCACAAGATTACATCATGATTTAGTGTTTACATGTAAAGCTATTATGTATACAGAAAAGACTAAAAGCATAGCTTGGAATATGCATTCTGTTTTCATGAAGAAAATTTTCATCCTTGGAACAATGAGAAAAATTCCATGTTTTTTGTAGCAGAGCAAACAAGCACCTTATGGGAATTGTGGCTGAAGCTGTGTTGTGCTGTGACCCTGGCCTATCCCAAGTCGAGGTGAATTTGGCTAGCACTGGATAACTGCACCTTCTGGTCTAAGAGGGAATCTACTTTTGTTCACCTCAGCAATTCACTCTTAAAAATAGCTTTTTGATGTGCTCTCAGAATCCATTGAAATATATCAGATCTATTCCTTCAATTAAATTTACCCCAAGGTTCCTTTTTTATTTCTCAACTTGCGTCACTGCTAATTTTTTTTAAAGTAATATATTGCCAGAAGTGTAAATCCACCCCAATTTGGCCCTCTTTAAGATCAAACATAACTATGTTCCTCTTGCTGCTTTTTAAATCAATTCCTTATGTAGATTAATGCAGAAAATTAAAGTTCCTGCATCTTATGTGCTCTGCACTTCCCTTTCCTGTGCTCAGTCCCAGAGAGTGGGGCTGTCTCCTAGCCCTGGTTGTAATTCGTCTCATCTGTGGTGGCAGCCTTCCTTCCATGTCCCTGCAGAGCTGCTTCCTCCTCTGTGCTTCAGAAGATGAAATACCCAATGCCAAACCTTTGTTGAGTGTTATTTCTCTGACTTTCTCAGTAATTATCAGATCATTTAAGAATAGTTCATAGAAATCCAGAGTTACTAAATGTAGAGAGTGCAACCACCTTTCAAATTCAAACATAGCCACTTGTAATCTTGGAAATGTCTCTGTATTTTTCTAAGCAGTATGGTCTTCTAGAAGTCACTCTGTAGTTTATCATTTCGACTGGTTTCATCTTTAGCAGACAGAAGCCACTGCACAGCATTGCTTTTTATTTTTCTAAAGGAAATAGAAGAGAGGATTTGACAGGCTTTTTGAGTTCAGTTTCATTCATATCAGTTTCCCAGTCTCTCACCTGTGAATTTAAATCTCAATTGAGAAAATGATATGACACTCAGGTTCACGTTTCCTATGAGGAAAAAAAAGATTCCCAAGTGCTTGTAGCTGCATGCTGTCCAGTAGAGTGGCTCTTGAAATAACCTCATTTTCTATCAAAGTTTAGAAATTTGCAAGCTATTATATCTAGTACTTCGCTTTTCTGATTGATGCCTATCTCCTACACCTTACATATTATTTTTTCATTTAGTATTTTTTCAGTCTTTTTATCTCCATCTCAGTGATGATTCTGAAGTATGTGGGCTGCTGCTCTCAATATTCTGCTTTACAGGGTGATCATACTTTGCAACATGTGCCGTGGTACTTCCTAAAACAGTGCCAGCTTGTCCTGCTGTTATGTGTCCAGGGCTCCTCCATTTGTTTTAGCCAGCTGTTTCTATTCTGCCAGGACACCTGGCCTCCCTGCCCCCTTGCTCATCTTTCCTTCCCCTCCCCCTCTCCTTTTCCTTCTCAGCTCTTTTTCTTTCTTATGCTGCCTGCTATTATTTTCCACTTTATATTAGCTGTCTTTTTGTTCCTGAAAAGTCCTTACAAAGAAAGGTTTATGTTTGAAAGCTTCA